GTATGCACCAGCTTTAAAAACAGCCTTTGCTTTTACCCTAGAAACGGGATTTTTCTAAATCACAGAGGCCACAGGAAATGTGAGAGCTGGCAAATTTATGTAATGTGGCTGGGAATCGCTCTGCTGGGGATTTGTGGCAGTATCATCCTTGAAGGGCTCCTTTCGGTGCCTTCTTTTTCAAGTCAGGGATTCCAGGCAGTCAGTGTCTTGATCTTATAAACTTCACATGATGTTCAAGATAAAATGGTCAAAAATTCTGAGAGTGTCCAGATCTGCCTGGTTTTTGCCTTTTGGTCATCTGTTCTCATGTTTTAGAGTCATTATCCAGGAATAACTTGTTGCCTTATAATCTCCAGAGTAACTGTACTTTGTCTTAAAAATACAAGCTTCAAGCCAGACATGGTGACATGTGCCTGTAATTCCAGCACTCTGGGAGGCTGAGACAGGAGGATTGCAAGTTTAAGCCCAGCCTGAGTCACTTATGACTTAGCAAGTAAGACTATACCTCAAAACTTAAAAATAAATAAAAATAAAAGCATTGGGGATATAGTTCAGTGCAAAGGTCCTGGTTCCGTGCCCAGTACCACCAAGCTAAACCAAAACAAAACACCTAGCTTTATGCAGCATTGAAAAGAATTCTATGCCACACCCCTCAGGCTTGTCCATTATGAATAGCCAAAGTTTATGGCTGCCCTGAGTTTGCGTGTAATTAGAATTCAGTGGGAATAAGAATAAGTATTTTGTAATCATAAACTCCAAGGAATTTTCTGTTTGAAGGGTGAGGTCCAAGAGTAAGACTTGTTAAACACAAAGCAGCAGCTTCTGACACGACAGTGTCCACACATCCGGTGCTCTTGTCTTCCGTGGACCGTCTCCGTGTCCCGAGTAGAGACAGAGCACAGGTGTGACGCGTGTGAGCACTGCGATCCTGGGACCCTTTGCAGTGACTCATTGGAGCTGCTGCATCCCTCTTTTGAAATCTGTGTCACTATGATTTTTAATTATCCAATAAATACAGTGTCCCCACATCCTGTGCAGCTGGGTGGTACACTGATATTCACCTCATTCATCCTTAACTCTTGGTGAGCTAAGTGACCTGAGTAAATCAGATTCTCCTGACAACTGAAGTTTAAACCAGAAAGGATTATAGATTACTCGGGAGAAAAATCTCACTATATAGCTTATAGTTCCAAGCACCACATTAGTGCAATCTTTTCTTAAATACGAGAATGGTTCAACCCTTCACGACATTAGCTTTGCATCCTACATGCTGTGCAGAAGAGGAGCAGGTTAGGGTTCTGTTAAGGCAGAATCACATCCTCGGGTCTTTGCTCTTACACCCAAGGGTGCCAGAGGCTTCACTGCCTGAGCTGCATGTCTACCCTGAAGACTTCTGGGTTTTCTCGTGCTTGCTTTTGTACATACACATGCTTGTCTTGGAAGCTCTTCCATCACCACCCATTAATTTTGTGCTTTTAATTATTTATGTTCTGCAAAATCATTTGCTCTGCAAACCCTTGCCAGGTGGACTGTGAATCGGGTCCTTCAGGGAATCAGTGTACACAATCCACCTAATCCATGTCCTCACGGAGCTTGTGGTCCAGAGGGGAAAGATACCATCAGCAGAAAGATGTACTAGGAGAAATCATGGTGGTCACAGAGGGAAAAGAGAAAAGGGAGCCAGTGAGAGCTGTTCCCAGTTGGAGAGGGGAGGTTGGCGTGGCACCCAGAGGAAGCCGTCTGTTAATGGTTCTGCATTTCATCCAGAGTCATGCAGGAAATGACTGCAAGTTTAAGCTGGTGATGAAAGAACCAGATTTGGTGGTAGGTCTGGCGGATGTGCAGAAATAAGACAGAGGTCAGCACTGCAGCTCAGAGGTCAGAGGCCCCTGGGAGCGCCTGGTCTCTGGATTGTTGATGCTTCTCCCTTCTCAATGCAAGTGTTGGCAGACTTCTGCAAAAGGCCAGACAATAAACCTTTGGAGACCATGGGCCATACATTATACAGTTTGTGTGGCAACTACCCAGCTCTTCTATCGTAGCACAAAAGTGGCCACAAGCAAGACCACCGCGGAGGTATGGATTGATTGCATTTGCTGGCCCTGCCTGGCTGTTCTCACACTCTTCACTACTGAGGGACAGAGGAAATGCAGTCTGTGTGGCTGTCTCTGGCCTGGAGCTGCTTGTATCCATTATGGGAATATAAGTATACACACTTATGGGCCATCAGCAAACATTATAAGACAGTGTATAATTACACACCAACAGGGTGTGCAGAAACAGGAAGTGTGGTGAAGAGTGCGCTCATCTTTTTGGCATCTGGGTGTCTTTAACTCCATCCTCTGAATATTGTGATTATTTAAGTCAAAGTCCACCTTCTTTGGAGCCCATAAGTTTCCCTAGGTACCCAGGTCCTCTGTGGCTACCCTTGAGGCGTCTTGGGGCAGAACCAGAACTTTTAGTTCCTGCTCTGAGCTTCCTGTGGGTCAGACTTCTGCTCTCCCTACCTCCCCCACTTCTTCCCTGGAGTTAATTTCTGCTTCTCCATCCTGAAAATCATTTCAAAACATGTCTGTAGCCAGGTGTGTTTACACACACCTATAATTCCACCTACTCAAGAGGCTGAGGCAAGAGGATCACACGTTTGAGAACAGCCTTAGCAGCTTACTGATAGCCCCCATGCAGGACTCTTCTCCGTGCTTTCAGTTCCAAGCAGGTGCTTAGAACGGGAGTTATTTTTGTCTGTCCATTGGTAGAACCTGGCGAAGGCCTCGGTGGTCCCCAGGACTCGGTCTTCACCCTGGGCCAGGGCTGGCACACACAGGATGTCTTTGTCAGTGTTTGTCCATGAACTTGTAGTGTCAGTTGTTCCACAGCTGTCATTTCTGATGTCAGCCCGGGCATCCATCCATATTGTTAGTTACATTAAGGAACTGGGCTTGTCCTCAGTGTGAGGTAATTGAAGGTCCCCTTCAGCCTCTTAGGACTAAAAAGCATGGGGAGGGGGAACTGGCTCCATGCTGCTGTGAGGTCTGGACATCAGGGGTTTGGAAGTGCGCAGCCTGGGGGCAAGGACACCAGCCCCAGCTCTGCACTGAGCCAGCCGGGTGGGGTGGGGTATGTCTGATGGCCCAGCCTCTGCAGGCGGGGAGGGACTTAGGTCCCAGAGCACTCTGTACACTGCTGTAGGCTTCCATCATGCAGAATCTGAAGCTCCCTAAGGCTGCTTCCTCATGGACTCTGAGAAATACACAGCGCGACCACTGTCGTGACCTCCTGGGTGCCATCTTCAGTTTTGGGGAGACCGTGTCTCATCTTGTCCTTGGCAGTTCATCTGCCATACTCAGAACAGAGTAGCTGGGGCTGATTTTGCAAAAACAAGGAGCAAAAAAAGGAAAGATGGAGCCAGAGTGAACGAGAAGACATCTCAGAGTTTATTATGGTGGGCCAGGGGCTCTTTCCCTTTGGGCTCCATGGTGAGGTTAACCTTCAGTGTCCTTAACAAGAAAGTTAACCCCACTGTCTTTCAATTTTTTGGTCTTCCATTAAAAAAAGTGAATCTGTTATAAGCTAAAAACTAGTTATTGATGTTTTATCAAGCAAGTTCTGAGCCAGGGTAAAAGACACAAAGGAAAAACGTTTTGGTTCTGATAGTTAAATTTTGTGCTGGGGATTAAATTTTAATCTTGGGTTAAATGTCAAGGTGCTCAGAAGACAGAAACTTTGCTCAGTGGTTCTGCCGCCTTGCCTTGCAAGTGCAAGGTCCCAAGTTCAATCCCCAGTACCTCCCCCCAAAAAACCAAACAAACAAAAGACAGGAACTTTGATCACTCTGGAAAAATCCTTGCTTTGTTCTCTTAGCTACTGGTTCAGCTACGCATTTAGAGGGAATTTGCCTTGCCAGGCAGCAGGTAGGCTGAAGCAACTGTTATTCTCTTAGAAACTTTCTCTGTTCCACAGAAGACAGACAGCACTGTTGGAACCTCAGTCTTCACTGCTGCGGAAAGCTTTCTTTGATATTCATACTTTTCCCTTTCTCAGAAGGACCTCAGGATTTAGTATGGCAAATGTAATTGCTCTCCCCCAAGTTTTCCTGCTAGAAGCCAGTGGAAAGTCCTGCTCTGCTGGGTGGAATTTCTGTTGTGTGAATGACATTGAAGGGTCTGGTGAGTCCTCCGTGTGGGCCCAGCTTGTGCCTGGCCTCCTCGGGCTGCAGGCCCTGGCTTCAGAAGCTGCGTGCACAGTGTGACCCTAAAAGCATCAGCTCTGTTGTTTAAAGCACATGCCAAGAGCCTGCCTCTGTTTGGGGTTTTTTTTAAAAAAAGGAAAGACAGAAAGAGAAAAATGGAGCTTGGCACTTAGCTTCATATAGGAGAAAGCTTTGAGAAAGAATCAGGCTGTGTCTGTCAGTTGACCCCAGGCAGGCAGTGTAGGGCAATGCATGTGGCAGCTTGGACGTGTGCCTCCCCATCTCACTTGCTTTGGAAGTGTAATGTTTGTGTGGGGAAATGGAAGACAACTACTCAGCAAGTTGTTTCCTGTTTTCTGCATGACTTCTACACAGCGTCTTTCTTGTGTGTGTGTGTGTGTGTGTTGCTGGGGATTGAACCCAGGACCTCGCACACACTGGGCAAGCACTGTACCAGGAACCTCACCCTCAGTTCTCTAGAGCAGATTGAATACCACCTTCAAAGTGCTTCCACATCCAAATTCTTGGTTGGCTGTAGAACCAGTTTGAGAAGTGTTGTAGGCTCCGTCTTACAGATGCAGAACAGGCAGCTGAGACCAAGGTCAAAGCTGGGCCCCAGCTGCCCAGAGGGGCCACACACAGGAAGGTGGAATCCCAGTCTCCATCTGTTTCTGCTGTGGCCACCCCAGGCCTGTGTGATGGCTCCGGCCCCGGCCTTTAGGCTGATGGTGGTGGTATTGGCCTGGCCCGTTCATTCTCCTCCTCTGCATCTGTGTGACAAGTTGTTTCTGTCTCTCACCATGTCTTTCAGCTCGGGTTCCTTTGCACCACCTGGGCTCAGCCGGCACAGAAGGCAGCAGGCCATGTCGGCACGTACCACCACGTGGACCGTGCCACGGGCCAGGTTCTGACATGCGACAAGTGCCCAGCAGGGACCTACGTCTCGGAGCACTGTACCAACACGAGCCTGCGTGTGTGCAGCAGCTGCCCAGCCGGGACCTTCACCAGGCATGAGAACGGCATCGAGAAGTGCCATGACTGTAGCCAGCCGTGCCCGGGGCTGATGGTTGAGAAACTGCCATGCTCTGCCTTGACAGACAGGGAGTGCACCTGCCCACCCGGCATGTTCCAGTCCAATGCCACCTGTGCCCCGCACACCGTGTGTCCTGTGGGGTGGGGGGTGCGGAAGAAGGGGACCGAGAACGAGGACGTAAGGTGCAAGCAGTGTGCGCGGGGCACCTTCTCCGATGTGCCTTCCAGCGTGCTGAAATGCAAGGCCTACACGGACTGCCTGAGCCACAGCCTGGTGGTGGTCCTGCCGGGCACCAAGGAGGCGGACAACACCTGTGGCCCCCGCCTGTCCCTCTCTAGCACCATCCCGCCCTCCCCTGACACTGCCATCTCTTCACACTTCAATCCCATGGAGTCCCAGGAAGTCTCTTTCTCCAGCTATGTCCCTGAAGGTAACTGAGCTCATGAATCCTTATTTGAGAAAGTCTCGGAGCCCAGTGGAGATGCCAAGAGTGACCTTGGACCAAGAATGTCCTCTTCATTTTGTGTACTCCAAAGTCAGCCCTTGGAGAAGAGGCCTTTGTTTCATGGCTAATTAAATCTGGCTTCTTTGGGTGTATTAGAAACATTTAGAGTCAGAAGTTTTCTATTAGGAAAGATGAAATATTTAAAAATGAGGCCACATCAAGTGAGAAAGTCAGAACTGAGAGAATAAGGACAATGTATAACCTTATGGGTCACTTAAGCTCTTCAGGTCTTGGTTCAAACTGACCAAGTAAGCGAGCGAGTGAGTTCAATGTTTAAGGTTTCTTCCAGATTAAGTTTTCCAACATGGGGCCAAGTCTGGGTGGACCCAGCTGGAAGGAAAGAAGTAGAGCGAAGGGGAGGAAATGCCCCTGCATTTGGAAGAAAGGGAGTGTGCTGAGTCTAGGTTGGGGCAAAGAATGGGAAGGAGAGTTAGAAGCATCAGGAAACAAGTGAATTTGTATCTGACCAAAGGTGACCAGCGTTAACAAGCATTCACCTCTGGAAAAGAACAACCTGATGTTTTTCCAGTCACCTTGACTTCATACCCTTTATGAAGTATCCCAGTTTTCCTGAGATTCCATTTGAACCTTGGGAAAAATGTAAAATTTAGTCTATTTTCAAATCCTTGTTGACTGTGATTTTCCCGAGATGGTGACAAATGTGGGTTGTGTTTCCCGCCTCCTGTGTGTGCAGTGATGTTGGCCTTCATGATAACCCCAGTGTGGGCTGAGCTTGCTCATGCCCACCATCTTGAAATGAAGAAACAGGCTCACAGTGCTCAAAGGGCCACTCCCAATTTCCTCAGGGGCTGACACAGGCCAGGTTCTTCCCTGAGGCCTGGACGTTCCCATTTCTCCTTTCCTTAATGAAGATATCTTATAGAAGCTTCTCTGAAAGAAGCCCACCAAGATGCCAACCCCAGTCTTGCTTAACCTGTTGGAAACAGCTGTTGAGAAAGTCCTGCCTTACTTTATTCTCTGAGCTGCTCCACCCAACCTTTCTCTTGTCAGATTTGGGTTTGTGTCTGAGCTCTTTTCTTCATCTTGGTTGTATGCTCCGTTTCACCTCTTCATTGTGAAATGGTTTGAAGGTGAGAGAGGGAGGAGAAGGAGCAAAGGAATTACATTTAAACTATTTCTCAGAATAATCGGCACTGAGAAGAGTTGACTAGCATGCTCTGTCCACTCGATGTGTGAAGAACAGGAGAAATTACAGGAAACCCAGGAGTAGGGCCCCACAGATGGCTTGCTTTCGGTACAGGAAAGTCAGTTTAGTGTTCAGATTTTACCTTTCGCTGAAGGAGCTGCAGGAGCCTTGATGGAAATGTACAATTCATTGTGCCCTGCAGGTTGGTCATTCCTTCTTTGATTATTAGGCCTCGTTTGGAGCTGACCAGGGAGAGAATGGCACATGTAGATCCCCAAATATGGAAAAGCTCTTCCCCTCCCCTTCCTCTTTTTTCTAGGCACGAACACAACAGAACCCAACTCTTCCGCCTCTGTTAGACCAAAGGTACCGAGTGGCATCCAGGAAGGGACAGTCCCCAACAACACGAGCTCGGTGAGGGGGAACAAAGACAAAAGCATGAACAAGACCCTCCCGAGCCTCCAGGTGATCAGCCACCAGCAGGCACCCCCACACAGACACATCCTGAAGCTGCTGCCGTCCATGGAGGCCACTGGCGGCGAGAGGTCCAGCACGCCCGCCAAGGGTGCCAAGCGGGGCCACCCGAGGCAGAGCCCACACAGACACTTCGACATCAATGAGCACCTGCCCTGGATGATCGTGCTCTTCCTGCTGCTGGTGCTGGTGGTCATTGTGGTGTGCAGCGTTCGAAAGAGCTCCCGGACGCTGAAGAAGGGGCCCCGGCAGGACCCCAGCACCATCGTGGAGAAGGCAGGGCTGAAGAAGTCCTTGCCCCCGGCCCAGAACCGGGAGAAGTGGATCTACTACTGCAACGGCCACGGTGAGTGTCTCCCCCTTCTCGCTCGCTCACCACTCCCCTCTCCCCCAGTCCTGCTTTCTGAGGAGTGCGGCATGTGCAGTGTACGAATCTCTGGGACGCGTGCTGCCTGGTCTGCTTGAGTGGTGGGAATGTTTCTGGCCATCTCAGTAGAATTAACGCATCCAGGGCCTGTAGCCTCTCCTTCCATTTCTCCCAGCATCTGTAAGGCAGAGAAGGTTGCACAACCGGAGACCTGAGAGTTACCCACAGGGACTCTGCCAGACCTGTCATTTAACAAACACAGAAACTGCGATCGGAGAGGAGCTGGTTGTCCAGTGGGGCTGGACCCCTCCCTGCTGACCTTGTGACCCTTTCTTTCCTCACACCACTGGGCTGCTGGGGAAAGAGGGTGAAGCCTAGCTTGTTGTCACTTGGCCTTATTGCGAGTTTTGAGTGTGCTCTTCTGTTCCTGTTGCTTTCCTCCTGTGTTTGTCTCACTTAAATGTTGAGGGTCCCCTTTCCCCAGGAAGCATGGGGGCTCTTGCGGGTGATGGACACCAAAGGAACAAAGTGCTGGTCACCATCGGGGTTTGGGCCCTATTCCCCTTTCCTGACAGTCAGTGTGCTTTGGTACAGGCTGGAATATTTTGGTCTTTCCTCTTTTGAGGGCAAAAATGGCTTCTAGAACTTGTCCCAGAGCTAAGTTTGACCGGAAGCCCACAGTTTTTGCACCGTGGCAGGAGCTTCCTTTTCTTTACATTTTAAATGGAAGTCCAGCCCAACTCAGACAAGGTTGTTCCAGTGTCACTTTCCACTTAGAGGTGAAGGAGAAAATGAAAGTGGGTATCTATCTACTTGGCCTCTTCTGGTGAGTCTTACAATGCTTATATCACTTGGCCTAGCCACTCTGTTTTTGTGAATCTGACATAAAGGTATAAACCGAAATACTGTAGAAAGAAGATACCAATACAAAGTTCTTAAACTTTTAACTCAGCATTACGTTAACTAAACATTGGAAATAACCACAGGACCAGTTTCAGAAAGATAACTAGTGGAGTATTATGTTAAACACTGCATGAAGTGTCTTTTCCCTTGTGTCATAGGAAAATATTTACATCATGTAAATAAGGAAACCAAGCTAAATAAGCTACTTAGTTTCTATAACATAATATCAGTTCTCCAAACACTACAGAATAAAGACTGAAAGAAAATACACCAAAAAGACAAATTTTTTCAATGTGGTTGGATTTTTGTGTAGATTTCTTTTTTATTATTTTTCTGTAATTTCCCTAAATTTTCTATAATAAGCATGTGCTACTTTTATAGTAAAAAATGTAGAGAAAAGTGAAAGCACAAATGTACCACGCATGTTGCTTTTCTTGAGGGTGGATGTGGACGTCAAAGCCACGGGATGATCAGTCGGAGGTGAGCGTCCTACCTGGTCCAGAGCCAGGACGGATGGCAGGAGACAGCTCCTGCCTGGATCCTGGCTGGAAAAAGCATTAGTCCTTTCCTCGCTCTTTTTAATTAAAAACAAACAAAGATGTTTTGTTTGCACATTGCACATACCTTCCAAACTTATAAAAAGATGTTGAATTGTGCAGAGAATACCTGCACACCTGTGCCCAGATTGACCTGTACACACACTGTACTCTTTCCCTGAAACCATATCTATATTCTATATAATAAAATACATATGCAGAATAGCTCCTTATGTGACACATGATGTATATATATATAGAGAGAGAGAGAGAGAGAGAGAGAGAGAGATACACAGAGTAATTTTTCCAAATAATTTCATGCTCTTATCCTTCAATACTTCAGTATATATTTCCTGGCAATAAAGTAGTCTCTTGAAAAAACAGATTTTCATATTTATGAGAAACATAATTTTCAACCTGAATACATGTAGGGCGTGCACAATGCTTGGCTGCCCGCATTTTATCCATGTTGTGGGTTCACCCTGTAAGGCCTGGATGGAAAGCACACATTTCCGCGAGTGCAGGATCCAGTCTCAGACCTGATGGTGCCTTAACTTGTCCTGCGAGAAGCTCACCCAGATGCTCGTTTTGCTCTGGATTTAACTAGTGAGCCTCCTGGTAGATTATGTAAACTTGGACCTGTGCTCTCACTGTTTCTTCTCTTTTCTTTTAGTAGTGGCATTTATACATTAGGTGACCATCAGCTATATATTTTTTTTTTTGGTACCGGGGATCGAACTCGGGTCCTTGTGCTTGTGCAGCAGGCGGCGAAAACACTAAGCCAAATCCCCAGCCCTATCAGCTATATTTTAAAACTCTAGCAGTGTTGTTTTCAAAATTTGTGAGCACACAGCAAGTATAGATGTAAAAGCTGGTCCGGCACCAGAGAGCAATTTAATGCCATGACCTTAGATGTTCTTATGGCTGTCATCACCTTCTGAACCAGGGTGTCCTTAATTCAGGGTCCTTGGCTGGGCATGGTGGCACATGCCTGTATTCCTAATTCTCGGGAGGCTGAGGCAGGAGGATCCCTGTGAGTTCAAGGCCAACCTGGGCTCCATAGTAAGTTCAAGGCCAGGCTGAACTACATGGCAAGACCCTATCTCAAAAAAAAGAAAAAAGAAAGAAAGAAAGGACAGGGCCCTATTTGGTAAAGGTATGGTGCTGCCAAACCCAGCGAGACCCAGCCATCCCCGCCGTACACAGCACTGCTGCCTGGCGCCCATTCAGGTGTCACTATGTCATCCAGTGGTTCAGCCTCTGTGCCAGGTTTTGATTCAGGGTGTTCATCCTGAAGGTGTTTTTCTAAGCAAGCCTTTTTCTTTCCAATTGCTAGTCTCAAAGCTCCCACAGGTAAGATCCTGTGACAAGGAGAAGTTGTGTTTGGTGCGAGCCGTGCCAGGTGCACCGACGAGACCTGGGGACAGTGTGTGCTGATCTGATGGCGCTGTCTTGGCAGCGGTTGTCCTGGATGAGGGGAGCGCTTCCTGCTTCTCGTCCGGTTCACACCCAGCTGTTCTTGAGGTCAGGTGGGGACAGCGTCGCCAAGCCCGGGCTGTTCTCTCTGAGGTCCTGCAAGACCTCCCCGGCCCTACCCCTCCCGCGGGACGTGTGCTCCTGATTGCCACCCGAGAGCAACAACCTGGACCTCTCCCTCCCTGAGCTCCCCCTGCTCTCTGTCTGCCATGGCTCACAGTTTCTAAAGCTGAAGTGCGCAGAACTGCAGTCCTGCTTCCCCATCATGCTAGCGTTGGAAACCAAGATGAGGCTTTCCTCCCGTGGCAGGGATGGAGAAGCAGGCCCGTGGCCTCCTCCCGAGGAGCAGCAAGTCTGTGTTTGGAAGTTTGGGACCCAGCTGTGGTTTCTGGCCATCTATCTATTTCAGCAACAGGACTCGCAAGTCACGTCACAATTTTTGTATACAAAAAGCTACCTAAGAGTTTATTGGCTCCCATATCAGCAAGGTGGAAGTCTATTGTTAGTGTTCAAATTTGTCAGGCTTTTGCCATTTTTTGGAAATATATTTCTCTTTGCAGTATAACCCTAACATAATGCCGTAAGTGTGGGTGGGGGTCCAAAAAAGATTAATTTAATTTAAAATTAAGATTAATGTGGGTTGCATACCTGTAATCCCAGCACTCAGGAGGTTGAGGCAGGAGGATTGCTGTGAGTTCAAGGCCGCCTTAGGCTGTACAGAGTTCAAGGCCAGCCTGGAATTCATAGCAAGTCCTTGTGTCAAAACAACCCCACAAAAATAAAATAAACGAAAAGATTAATGTGAGTTCATCGTTAATTAGGAGGTTATATGGAAAATGATTTTTTATTTGCTCTGTTTTGTCAAAAAAAGCATGGAAGTAAAGATAGTACAATTTAGTCCCCTCCCAGCTGGGTATACATTGTGCTGAGAAAGACTCCAGTACCTCAAAGATGTCCCTTTGTCCTCTCTTTCATAACCACAGAGGACATGGAACTGCAGCCACTTCCACCTCCTGTTCTTTTTTTTTTGGTACCAGGGATCAAACTCGGGTCCTTGTGCTTTCGAGGCAGGCAGCGGAACCACTGAGCTAAATCCCCGGGCCCCCACCTCCTGTTCTTTACCTTTTGTTCTTCCTCCTCAGCTTCTCCTCTCCTCTCCTTTTCCCCTGCTCTGTCTCTGATTGTTCAGAGGAAGAACACAGCTGTACTCCAGCAGCCTGTCACCCTGACTCGTGGAGGGGAAGCCTGGCCATCACATGAGCAATGGAAGTGACCCTGAGAGTGCTTGTGGAGTAAGATTTGAAATGTTTAAAGGGGGCAGAAAGCCCATAGCTTCTGTCTTAGATCTGCTCCCTTTTTCTTTCACACTTCTAGGCCATGCTGAGGAAAGAGGACTAGTCTTGGATTGTATATAGAATATGTATTATAGTTAATGTACCTAAGTGACAAAGCCTGCTGTATTTAGTAGTATTTTTTATTATAACACAGGCACATCTGACTGGGCTGCCAGTTGGACACCCTACAGGCTGAGGCAAAATGAGAAGCAATGGATGAGGGAAAGGAGTAGGAATCACTTAGTCTACACTGTACTTGGTTCCTGATCAGCCGCTGGTGAGCACAAGGTGGGACTGTGCAGCCCCCCTGCAGTCACTTAAGGCACTGGACACTTGGGGACAGCATCTTCCTCACTCATGCAGATGGCGGCAGGGACTGGGAGAGCCCTAGGCCCTCTCCCTTGGGCTGGCTGTGGCACAGGGTGAGGTCTCACTTGGCAGGACTGGACTGTGAGCCGCCGTCCTCACCAGTTGCTCTGACCCCCTGCCACTAACTGTGTGTGGCAGTGGTGTCGGAAGCCCCAGCCCGCCTGGGGGTTCCGATCTGGCAGACTTTGGGCCTTTCTCCTAGTCTCCTAGGCCTGGCATATGGCTCAGGGCTCATAGAGGGGCAGCCTGGAGCCGAGTTGATGCCTGCTGGCCCTGTGAGCTATTTACTGTGAAACTAAAATGAAATATTCAGTCCCCAGTTGCATTGATTGCATCTGAAGTGCTGAGCAGGGACCCATGG